GTGGAATAATTTTAAACATTACGTAACGGGTTAACTCTGAGAATCAATTTCTCATTCACCCTCTACCATTTTTGGCGTAATATTTGTCAAAACATTTATCTCATTTAAGAGAAAACACGTCCATTAATTAACGGTCAAAACCGTTACTGGACCTATTGACAAATATACCCAAGTTGGTCCAATTAATGCCTAATAAAAATGCCAAAAATTCCAACAGTTTACCAATCAAATTCATCTTTCTTATGTGTAAGGAAATCAAAAAGTAATTTATTTATATAATGTAATGAATGAGTTTGAATATAATAGGAAGCTCTGGCTATATCTCGATGCAGTTGGTTCGCAAAACTCCACCATCATTTCTGATCAACAGATTCTAATTAGTCGAATCTACTGCCATACTCTCATTTTATTGAAAATAAATATATATGGAACGACACTGAACTAGCTTGAATTCATTGGTGTGCGTAATTATTATTAATCATATTATACTACAGATTTGCAATATATTTGATAAATTGCGATGACACAATGCCTCGTTTTGGATTGGCTCCCACTAAATTGCCAACATCTGGTGGTTTCTAACAGTATACTCCTACTAGGCTACATTGGGAAAATCCATTTTTAAAGCCTTGTATCATCTGAAGCACTACAAAAATCTCATTATCCAATGCTCTTTCATCATAAAACCGTTCTAATCGTAACAATAAATTTAATTTTTCTTTTGGGCTATAATGTGATTCCTTCTGGTTCCTCATATGATATGTCAATGCCACAACCCAATTTGACCACACAACAAGGCAGCTTTCCACCATCTATTTTGTTATCAGACAAATTTATCAAACAGTACGACGACCAAAATTGGACCGCTATTATTTGTGCCAAACAGTCAAACTTCAAACCAAATTTATAAACAAATTTACCCACATTAAAAACAAAACTGATTCAGAAAAGAAACTGATGGGCCGATATCTAGAGGACGGCCCAAATGAACCATTTAAACAGCTTCGGGTCAAGCACCTGTGGAATACTCAAGCTGGGCCGGCCCAAGGAGCTGGGCCTAGTTAACCTCAGGCCAAGCGCAGCTGGCAGAGTCAGTCCGGAGAAGGAGACGGAGCTGATTGGCCGTTACGGAGCCGGAAAAAGGGGATCGCGCCCTTGGACGGGCTAAACTCCATCGGTTACGCTTCACCTTAATTGTTGAGAGCTCGTGTATAAATAGAAGGGACCCGAAAGGGGAGAACTCAAGCTAAATCAAGCTAGTAATACACATCCAATTCTCGAATTCTTGTTCTTAATTTTGTTCTTGCGATCCGCTCTGTAAATCGGATCATTTGGTGGATTTATTGTCCATCAAATTGGTGCTCTCGTTGAGAGTTCGAGAATCATACTCGGAAGAAATCCTCCACAACGACGATGGTGCAAACACGTAGCAACGCCAACGTAGGTACCGGAGTTCCCCAACAG